GCGCATTCAGCTCGGCAAAGAACTCATGCTCTTCCTCAACACTGAAGTCCTCAGACATTTTTCTTTCGTTGTTTCTTTCTTTGCACAGGTAAAGGGCACATTTCTTCTTCTACGCTTGCATTATTGGAAGAGCAGACGATGAATGCGCACTTTCATCTGGTTTGGTCTGCCGGCTTCCGTAGCGTCGTGATCGCGCATGTGCGCGACCACTTATTTAGATGATCCACCCAGAATTGAAAGATTGTCCTCTATAAATTCAAAGGGAATTTCTGATTCTACAGGTGAAGCAGGGAAATGGGTCACTTTCAATTAAAGTTTTCCAAAATGTTGTGACTCACAGCTTAATTCCAATCTAACCAAGGTGTGATTTTATTTTAATGACTAGCTGTTATCCCTTGATAATTTAAAGGGGCATTACGGAGTCTCCTAATGATAGTGCCACCTGTGGCCAAAACACAGAACTGCAGCACTCTTCTGCTCCTTCTCGCAGCTCGTGCTCGTAGTTGAAAATTTAATTTTTTATTTTATTTTTCTGACGGTGCTATATAATTTTCACACTGTGTAAACATATTTCAAGGCCTAATACATAATTAGTAACACACACAGAGAAAATACAGTGGACAGGTTGAACCCTAGTACACAGGAAACTGAGATGTCTTAGGATGTAGTGCTCAACTTATGAAGTCTTTAAGACAGCTGTAGGAATTCAAATTGTCAATAAATGTTTCCCCCTCCGGAGGACAAAATAGTGTGAATCGTTTTCAAGTGTCCTTCTTTCTGGATTCTACCAATGAGCCTCCACATTTCCACCTTTTGAGGAGTTGCCATCGGTGTCTGAGTTGAGCTGGATGTCAGTCACCTCTGAATATCCACCAAATCCATCTTGGATATGAAGCTTTGATTGTTTAATAGGATGGACCCATTTAACGTCACATCTGCAAACAACGCGGGAACTTCCGACCCGAAGTACGTTTAAGATTATAGATACATCAGCTAAACTGCTGAAGAGTCAGTTTGCTCATCAAACGATGTTTTAGTCAGAAACAAAAGTCTACAAGAGTCAAATCAACAGGCTATTTTAAAGATATTTTAAGTAAAAACTGACATAATTTATCTTTAAATTGAAATTTAAAAACTAGAAAAGGAAAAATTTGAAAAAGGAAGCAAAGAAGCAAAGTATTTTATCTAGATTCATTCAAAGGAACATTTGTAGTGAGACAAATCTATGAGTTTTTATGGCACAAAATGCTGTTAAAGTTGCTCTGAAAAGGAATCAGCAAACATATTAGTATTTCTGTGTATTCCCAGATTACCTGGAACCCCATGTTGAGCCGTATGTTTTATGCTAATACATTAAGCCACCAGAGCATCCTCCCGGGACCTGCCTCACATGTAAAGCTCATGGTTGGATGTTATAAAAATAGCTTCAGTGTGAGAACAGAGAATAAATCCAAATGCACCTGATGTAATTTAAAACCAGCCTATGAATTTCAAGAAAACTACCTGCTGTGCTCTATAGAGATGCTTGAATATTATTAACATAAATTCAACCATGAGAATTCAACTCTTGTCAAGTATAAAGGGTATTTCTTTTTACTGTTTTCTATTGTATATCATCAAAAAGTCCACATTTCTTCTATTTAATCCCCCCCTCTCCCTCTCTTCACTCAGACGGACAGCAGCAGCTTCCGAGAAGGCCTGAAGCGGAGAAACCACTCAGTGAGCTGCAGTGAGCCTGGAGATGTTACCCCAGTCCCAATTTTCCTCCAGCAGGGTTCAGCTTTTCCTCAAATCCCTCAGCTTGCTGGTACAAGCCCGATTGACCGCTACGCCCGCATCCTATTTCCCCTGACGTTTGCCCTTTTTAACCTCGGGTATTGGTACATCTACCTGACCAAAGAGACCATGGAGTGGGCAACGTGAGTTTGGCTTTTTTAATGGTTATACAATTTTTATCTTAACTGTTAAAATGTATGTGTCATGATTTTCTTAAGGGATCTGACCCACATGCAGTAAACTACTCAAATAAACCAGGGTAAAAGTTTAACAGATTTATTGAGGAGATGAACGGGGTTGGATTCAGGAAACTCAGGGAACTGGTGAACCGGAACTGGAAGTGGGAAGGGAGGTATCAGAGGTTAGTTAAGGGTCCGTGGGAACTTTGAACGATGACTTTGGCGAAACAGAGAAAACGGGACTCACGTTAGTGGAGAAAACCTTCTTCCCAGAATCCAGTCTTGCGTGGGTTAACCAGAGGGAGGAACTTGTTGGAGGGCGGACAGGTTTTTATTTGTTTGGTTCCTGAGGCACTAAGGAGAGGACTGTCACTTGGAATCGAGGAGGTCTTGAACGGAACCTGTGGAGGTTAATCCCCTGCTCAGTGTGAGACTCAAACAATCCTTTCAGGGGAAGAAGGCCAAAAACATCCAACTTGCAGGATGGCTTCCTACCAAAAGGTAAAGACAAAAACACAGTTAGAACTCAGAGAAACAAAGACTCAGTCAGACTCAGCTAATCTCAGCTTGGCTAGAGTACCCAAAACTGGCAAACACTCTGGCGTCGAGGTAGTGACAGTTCACTGCTCAAATACTCCTCAGTGAGGGGCCAACCAGCCGCAGGTGTGGAGGAGGACCAACGAGGACCGGGCACCACATGGTGGTGAAGGGAAAGAAAAACACAAAACACAACCCACACAAAATGGATTCCTAACATTATGTTTTTCATTTGATTTGGCTGAAGAAGTTAGGACTTAGAAATTTATTTACAATGCAATGCCATTGGGTGTAAGGTTTTGTGTCCTTTTTATCTTGTGCTTTGTTTCATGGTTTGTTCCTTTTCTGTGTATTCTAGTTTATTCCCTTAGGTTGGAATTTGTCCTTTTCTCCAGTGCATTTTAATCTCCTTTTCCTAAGTGTTTCATAATGTCTTAGTGCTTCTTTAATATTCCTCTATACACTCACTGGCCACTTTATTAGGTACCCCATGCTAGTAACGGGTTGGACCCCCTTTTGCCTTCAGAACTGCCTCAATTCTTCGTGGCATAGATTCAACA